AGGGTTTCACCATATTGGCCAGGCTGGTCTCAAATTCCGGACCTCATGATCCATCTCAGGGAGGATGAGGCCTCAGCCTCCCAAAGTGCTGGGATTACAGGCGTGAGCCACCGCGCCCGGCCAAACAATTTCTTATCTAATTCTCCTCAAGTTCCACAGCTTTCTTCACTAGCATATTGTGTAGATATAATTTCCTAAGCACCAAAAAATGTTTTGAAAACTTTAAATTTTTTTTAACATTTAATAACATTGGGCCTTAGAACTACTATTCAATGACCTGCCTCTCTAAGGTGAGCTGCATTCTGAGACTTGGGAACACAAATAGTTATGTTAGTGTATTAACATGTATCAATATAATTTTATGAACTTTTTCATGGCATCATCTCCAAAATTTATGCTAGCCTAGCATTATTCAGGTTTTTAAAAGGAAATCTCAAAGTTGTCTGCCAATTCAATAAAAACACCATAGAGATGAATGATCATGCTTTAACTTCTATAGTATTGTGAGTTTCTCAAAAGCAAGCCAAAGGATATACCATAAATTACAATAAAAGTATTATAAAATCATTAACATAGATAAAATTTACATCCCTGAAGATTTTAACTATCTCCCTTTAGGTTTAGACAATAAAAAGCATTTATTTAGGAGATATTCTAAAAAAAAAAAAAAAAAATGCCCCAATATTTACAAGACACTGGTGCTAGTTATAAAGACTCATGAGAAAAAGAGACAAATGAGAAAATACTTACCCACTTTCAGATGCACTCACAATATACTGTTTGTCACTGGAAGCACAAGCCTTAGACAAACAAGTGATTGAAGCTGTATGACCAAACAACAGCGCTCGAGGATTAATCTGGAAAAGCAAAAATATGCTAGTTTCAGTACCAAACTTAAAAAGTAACCTTTTATTTGAGTGCCAGCTTAGCCATAATACAACAGAAGATCAGACAGACTTCTAAGGTTTTTTACTTTAGTCCCTGGCTCTTGAACAGCACTGCTGGAGCTGGGGGAAATCTTCCAGCCCCGAAGAGAAGGACACAGGCCTGGCTGGCTTCACTACTGGCTGATAGTAGAGACCCAGGGTTTTAAACAAACATAGGCAGTAGCCAGGGAGTGGTTACAACAGGCCTTAAGAAAGACCCAATGCTAGCTGGCTTCAAGTCTGACCCAGCAGAGTTCTAGTGAAGGTGGCCACAGGGGTGCTTGTGCCATTCCACCCCCAGCTCCAAGTGATTTAAAACAGACAGAGAGACTCCGTTTGTTTGGGAGAAAGCATGAAAACAGAACAACAGTCTCTGTCTGGTAATCCAGAGAGTTGACACGAATCTTGTCCAAGACCACCAAGGCGGTACCTCTACAAGTCTGCAAGAACCACAGTGTTACTGGGCTTGGGGTCTCCCTAAAGCAGATGCAACTTAGAATACAACACCTAAGTCCTTCAGAATATCTGGAAAGCCTTCCCAAGAAGGACAGGTACAAACAAGCCCAGACACTGAAGACTACAATAAATATTTAATTCTTCCATGGCCAGACAAGACAAACATCTGCAAGTATCAAGACCATCCAGGAAAACATGACCTCACCAAATGAATGAAATAAGGCAACAGGGACCAATCCGTGAGAAACAAATATGTGACCGTTCAGACGGATAATTCAAAATAGGGTTTGAATTCTCTGTTTTGAGAAAACTAAAAGAAACTCAAGATAACACAGAGAAAGAATTCAGAGTTCTAGCAGATAAATTTAAGAAAGAGATTAAAATAATAAAAAAGAATCTAGCAGAAATTCTGAAGCTGAAAATGCAACTGGCATACTAAATAATAGATCTGAGTCTTTTTATAGCAGAATTGATCAAGCAGAGAAAAGAAATAGTGAGCCTGAAGACAGGCTATTTGAAAATACACAGTCTACGGCAGTAAAAGACAAAAGAGTAAAAAGCATGCCTATAGGATCTAGAAAATAGCCTCAAAAGAGCAAATCTAAGAGTTACCGGTCATAAAGAGGAGGTAGAAAAGGAGATGGGGTAGAAAGTTTATGCAAAGGAATAATAACAAAGAATTCCCAAATCTAGAGAAAGATATAAATATCCAAGTACAAGAAGGTTATATAACGCCAAGCAAATTTAACCCAAAGATGACTACCTCACTGTATTTAATAATTAAAATCCCAAAGGTCAAGGATAAAGAAAAAATCCTAAAAGCAGCAAGAGAAAAGACACAACATACACTGGGCCAGGCACAGTGGCTCACGCCTAAAATCCCAACACTTTGGGAGGCTGAGGTGGGTGAATCACTTGAGGCCAGTAGTTTGAGACCAGCCTGGGCAAAATGGAAAATCACCACCTCTACTAAAAATACAAAAATTAGCCAGGTACGGTGGCACATATCTGGAGTCCCAGCTACTCGGGAGGCTGATGCACAGGAATCGCTGGAACCCAGTAGGCAGAGTTGCAGCAAGCTGAGATCACACCACTGCACTTCAGCCTGAATGGCAGAGAGACTCTGTCTCAAACAATGGAGCTCCAACACGTCTGGAACCAGACTTTTCAGTGGAGATCTTACAGGCCAGGAGAGAGTGGCATGACATATTTAGAGTACTGAAGGAAAAAAATGTTTACCCTAGAATAGTATATTCAGCCAAAATATCCTTCAAGCATGAAAGAGAAATAAAGACTTTCTAGACAAACAAAAGCTGAGGGATTTCATCAACCCTAGACCCATCCTACAAGAAATGCTAAAGAGAGTACTTCAATCAGAAAGAAAAGGATGTTAGGGAGCAATAAAGAATCATCTGAAGGTGCAAAACAACAGTAATAGTAAGTGCACAGAAAAACAGAATATTGTAACACTGTAACTATGCTGTGAAAACTACTCTTAAGCAGAAAGACTAAATGAAACAATCAAAAATAACTACAACTTTTCAATACACATACAATACAGAAAGATATAAATAAGTAACAATAAAAAGTTAAAAAGCTGCCAGGCCCCCTGGCTCATTCCTATAATCCCAGCACTTTAGAAGGCCAAGGCAGACGGATTGCTTGAGCTCAGGAGTTTGAAACCAGCTGGGTAATATGGGGAAACCCCATCTCTACAAAAAATACAAAACTTAGCCAGGCATGGTGGCATGTGCCTGCAGTCCCAGCTACTTGGGAGGCTGAGGTGGCAGGACTGCTTGAGCACAGGAGGAGGAGGCTGAAGTGAGCCAAGGTCATGCCACTGCACTCTGGCCTGATTGAAAGGGACAGAGTGAGACCTTGTCTCCCCTCTAAAAAAAGTTAAAAAGCAAGGGAGGAAGTTAAGGTGCCGAGACTTTATTAGTTGTCCTTCTGTTTGTTTGTTTGTGTTTATGCAAATAGTGTTAAGTTATTATCAGCTTAAAATAATGGGTTATAAGATAGTATCTGCAAGCTTTATGGTAATCTCAAACCAAAAACATGCAGTGGATACACAAAAAATAAAAAGCAAGAAAATAAGTCATATCACCAGAGTAAATCACCATCACTAAAAGGAAGTCCTGACAGGAATAAAGAAGACCAAAAAACCACCAGAAAACAAATAACAAAATAGCAGAAATAAGTCCTTACTTACCAATAATAACACTGAATAAAAATGGACTAAACTCTCCAATCAAAAGATGGAGCAGCTGAATGGATGAAAAAACAAGACCCAATGATCTCTTCCCTACAAGAAACACACTTCACCTATAAAGACACACATAGACTGAAAATAAAGGGATGAAAAAAGATATTCCATGCCAACGGAAACCAAAAAAAGCAAAAAGAGGTACACTTATATCAGACAAAATAGGACTTCAAGACAAAAACCATAAGAAGAGAAAAAAGGTCACTATATAATAAGAAAAGAGTCAATTCAACAAGAGGGTATAACAATTTTAAATATATATGCACCCAATACCAGAGCACCCAGATATACAAAGCTATTATTAGAGCTAACCAGAGAGATAAACCCCAATACAGTAACAGCCAGGTATACTGGTGCACACCTGTAGTCCCAGTTACTGGAGAGGCTGAGGCAGGAGGATCACTTGAACCCAAGAGATCAACGCTGCAGTAAGCTATCATTGCACCACTACACTCCAGCCTGGGCAACAGAGTGAGACATTATATCCAAAAAAATAAAAATAACAAAAATAAAAGTGAAAGACTAGATGTTTTCTCTCTGCTAAGATTAAGAACAAAACAAGGATGTCCACTCTTGCCACTTCCATTCAACCTGTAATGGAGGTGTTATCCATGAATATTAGGCAAAAAAATAAAATAAAAGGCATCCCTATTGGAAAGCAAAAAGTAGAACTATCTCTGTTTGAGAGTGACATTATCTTATATGCAGAAAAGCCTAAAGGATCCACTAAAAAACTATAAGAAGTAATAAGTCCAACAAAGTTGCAAGAAACAAAATAAATAAACAAAGTCAAAGGTATCTGTATACAGCAACAGTGAAAAATCTGAAAATAGGGATGGATCCAAGATGGCTGATCAGGAGCAGCTCAGGATTGCAGCTCCCAGCTAAAGCGCAGAGGGTGAGTGAACACCGCATTTCCAGATGGATTTTTATTGCCCACAGACCAGGAGATTCCCAAGTGGAGGAGCCCCGCGGGTGCCAGTGCGGCTGTTTTGGCCTGCGCGGCTGTTTTGGCCTGCACGGCTGTTTTGGCCGGCGCCCCGGTGAGGCAGTTCTCCGTACAAAATACACGGATCTGGGCGCCATTTTAGCTGGTGATTGGAGCTCCTGGGAGACAGAGTTGCCCATTCAACTAATAAAAAGAAGGGGACTGAAACAGGGAGCCAGGCCAGGAGATTCCCAGGCAAAAAAGCATCACAAATCTCAGTGTGGCTGTTTCAGCCGGTGCAGTGGGTCACCACATGGGAAATCACACAGATCCCGGCACCTTTTCAACAGGCGACTGGAACACCTGGGAGACAGAGTTGCCCATTCAACTAATAAAAAGAAGGGGACTGAAACAGGGAGCCAGGCCAGGAGATTCCCAGGCAAAAAAGCATCACAAATCTCAGTGAGGCTGTTTCAGCCGGTGCAGTGGGTCATCACACGTGAAATCACACAGATCCTGGCGCCTTTCAACAGGTGACTGGAACACCTGGGAGACAGAGGTAACCATTCAACTAAAAAAAAAAAAAAAAAAAAAAAAAAAAAAAACAAAAAAAAAAAAAAAAAAAAAAAAAAAAAAAAAAAAAAAAAAAAAAAAAAACAGCGCTCTAAGGCAGGGAGCCAGGTGATCAGGCTCGGCTAGTCCCACCCCCACAAAAAAACAGCAATTGGAAATGCTCTGGACTGAGAGTTTCACAGCAAGCACAGCTGAACCCTGGATGGTCCAGTTCTGTGGGGGTGGGGGGGGGCGTCCACCATTACCAAGGCAGTACACCACTATTGGAGATAGTCCGCCATTGCTGAGGCAGCCTGCCATTACAGAGAGAGTCTGCCATTATAGAGGTGGGCCGCCACTGCTGAGGCAGTTCTAACTATACCCGTACAAACAGGACTGCAGGTAAGTTCACACCGCAGCTGGGCGGAGCCCACAGCAGCTCAGCAAAGCCTCTGCAGGCAGACAGTGACAAGACTGCCTCCTCGCTGGGCAGGACGGCACTGAAAAAAGGCAGCTGCACAACAGAAACTCATAAATAAAGCCCTAACTACCCAGGACAGAGCACCTGTGGAAAACAAAAGTGGGGGAGGTTATGATTTCTGCTGCAGCAGACTTAAATGTACTTGCCCAGCAGCTCCGAATGAACAATGGAGCTCACAGCTTAGTACTTGAGCTCCTATAAAGGACAGACTGCCTCCTCAAGCAGCTCCCTGACCCCATATATCCAAA